GGGCAGGGCAGGGCAGGGCAGGGCAGGGCAGGGCAGGGCAGGGCAGGGCAGAGGAGACGAGGGAGGAGGGGGAAAGAGAATGGATACACAGATGCTCTGAATTATTGCTGAGGTAGTGTCAGGATGGCCAGATGAGTTTTAGGAAGTGCTGTTACACTGTTGCCCACACGTGTTCCGATTTTCCACAGTGGCCGCATGTTATACAATGTGACATTTGTGGAGAGCACGGCTGGAGAGGACTCGGTGTCTTTCTCAAAGGCTGGACTTTATGTCACAAGCCATTGGGGATTTCCAAACTGTCCTTGCATACTGCTCTCTCAGCCACAGGAGCAAAGTCATCTTATTCATGATGAAGATGGTGGTGTAAATTTGGGTGACAACATAAAGAAACCACGTGTACTTCATCCTGTTCTCATTGTCCACTTACAAGTGGTTTCTTCCTTCACTAGAACCATGAGAGCCATTTAACATTGTGTTTTCAACGCTTTCATAGAAAGAAAAGGATACAGACGGTTCTGTGGTCTGTCTGCACCCTCATTAGCTTGTTCCCACTGTGGTATATGTTCTTCTCTTCATTTTCACTTTGCTTTTTAAACATTGCAGTGTGGCGTGAGCATGCAGTCCCTCTCCTGATTCACAGTAAGCGCTGACACCCCCCCCCCCTTGTGTCTGGGACCTCACACCACAGTGTGCAGTCAGGGTGTGCCCTAGTGAATAGAAACCACCCCATGTGTCTGGGACCTCACACCACAGTGTGCAGTCAGGGTGCATCTTAGTGAGTAGAGACTGCCCCCGTGTGTCTGCGACCTCACACCACAGTGTGCGGTCAGGGTGTGCCCTAGTGAGTAGAGCAAGCTACTAATTGCATATTCTTAGCAAGTTTCAAAAACTTGTGTTTCCGCAAACACCTTTATCAGTAGCTTGCCAGTAATGAGCACTGTGAGACTTTAAGACATACTGCTAAGTTTGTCAGTCTTTAGCTACAGGGTAGGCAGTTGAGGCTGAAACAAGAATTGGCATGACTTAGGAGATCATTCGTGTTCTGCCTTGTCCAAGTTTCATTGGTGTGTCCATATGGCTCATGGTATGTCCAAGGTGAATAACACTGACTCAAAAGAGCATTTCTTATTCATATATAAGTTATGCGCTTGTGAGTAGAAGTAATCATGCCCCAATA